TTTTATTTTATTTTATTTTATTATTTTATTTTATTTTATTTATTATTGGTGTATGGGTTGAGAGAACAGCACAAGGCATTTTTTGGTGGGGTGTCTGCTTCAACATGGGGGGAAACTTTTAGGGAGCTCCTCTCAGGTAAGCCCCGAAACACTACCAGCAGCAATATTTGAATCAGTGTGTTGATGAGTTGCTAATTCAGTGTTATATTTTTATCGCTTGTGTTCTGGTGTTTATATATGTTTGTTGTGCATTACACTGAACTCCTTTTGAAAAAGGATAATTTATAAATATCTTAAATAAATAAAATTCAACATGTTCTGAATTTATATGTACATATAAATGTATACGGGACGCGGGTGGCGCTGTGGATAAAACCTCAGCGCCTAGGACTTGCCGATCGCATGGTCGGCGGTTCGAATCCCCGCGGTGGGGTGCGCTCCCGTCGTTCGGTCCCAGCACCTGCCAACCTAGCAGTTCGAAAGCACCCCCGGGTGCAAGTAGATAAATAGGGACCGCTTACTAGCGGGAAGGTAAACAGCGTTCTGTGTGCTGCGCTGGCTCGCCAGATGCAGCTTGTCACGCTGGCCATGTGACCCGGAAGTGTCTGTGGACAGCGCTGGCTCCCGGCCTATAGAGTGAGATGAGCGCACAACCCTAGAGTCTGGCAAGACTGGCCCGTACGGGCAGGGGTACCTTTACCTTTACCTTATAAATGTATACATTAATGCTACAGTGAGAGATGAGATGATGAGCAACACATTTAAAAAGAGCCCTTTGCTGAAAATGTTGTAAGGAGTGGTCAGACTAAATTTGCATATTTCCATGTGCTAATACAAATGCAAATTCTAATGCTGGCCACGAGAAGATTGGACTTTTTTTAAAAAAAATGTCTTGGCAAATGTATGCAAGGTCTATGATGTAGTTCAGCCTAGAATCCTTGAATCATCTTTCAAAGTTACAACTTGAGCTACACAAGATGACTGGTCTCTTTTTCTTTAATTCAGTCCTTGGATACGGCCTCTAACTACTTCTCAGTGGGAACTTCTGGAAGGATTGAACAGCTGAATAGAGATCCAAACAGCATACATTTGATCCAGTTCTTACATTTAAAGCACATGACTTTTCCCACAAAGAAGAGTTTGAGGGTGCTGGGAACATTAGGTAGAAATCAACATCAAGCTATGACAAATGTTATGTCAGGGCAAGCATTTCAACTTGCCAGATGGAATGACACACACACACCCCGCCTCTCACCCCCCAGGTGCTGATCCATGGGTTCTCCTGACCCACTGAGCTAATTTTGGGGAGTTTGTGTGGAGGGGGGAACCCCTTTGAGCCACATCTGGAGGGCTATAGCCATCCTACAGGTTACAAGCTGGAGAACTCTGGCAACTATAAAGCTCACCTTGGTTTTGAGATGGGCAGCTTGTTTATAAGCCAAGCTTGGGAGAACATCCCCACCGCTTCTAGTGTGAGAAATTGTGACTTGGTAAGTGGCTGTCAGTTTTCAGCCATCTGCTTTGCACACAGAAGGTCACAGGTTCAATCTGCAACATCTGTAGAAAGGGATAGGAGAGGCTTCTGCCTGAAATCCTATAGAGCAGCTCTCAGCATGGACAATATAAGCTAGATGGGTGAATAGTCTGATTTGGCATAAGGCAGTTTCCGGTGTTCTTATGTCTGATCCTCAGTACTTGTTCCTCTTCCCACGTCCCTCCAATATCAAGAAAAATTATTGCTTTATGGGTCTCATCTTCCTTGCCTGTCTAGCATAGCTCAGTGATGGGCTAATTGAGAAGCAAGTGAACAAATTATTTTTTTTTATTTTTTTGAACGACCAAATTTATAATGGAGCACTTGCTTCCAGTGCTTCCAAGTGTCATTTTAAATTGCAACCCCATCATCGAAATCATCCAGCTCATCTTGCAGTTTTAACTCATCATTCATCTGTAACACAGGCGGCACATTTCTATTAGCAGAGCACATGGCCTCTTCTCACCCCAGGTAACCAATGACTCAACACGGGCATTAGGAAGCTGCTGTGCCTGTAGATTCAAGGATCATTAGCCCCAGTGCTAAGGAGTTCACATGTGGCAGAGGATGGAAGAGAGGCAGAACCAGGTACCCATACGTTAGCCGAAGGTGAAAAAGAGCCTAGACCCAGACAAAAACAAGAGACCAGCATCTCCCAGTCCTTCCAGACTTCCTCTTGCCCTGCTGTCCCCACCCCCACCTCAGGAAAACCCAATATTTACCACTGAATAAGAGCAAACATCCATCAGGTTTTCCTGGGGAAAATGGTGGGACAAACAGAAAATCGCTTGGACATGTGCTTTCTAGACATGGGTCAAGAAGAAGTGTGGATGAGCCCATAAACCTTCAGTTGAACACAGGGGCTTGGGTAAGTGGACCCAGACCTGTTGCCTGTTCCTCCACATATCAGAAGAATATGAATATGGCTTTGCTTGTTCTCCTGCCAATGCGTCCACCCAGTGCCAACCTCTGCCTTCCACTAAGTGGCAGTGGCCCTGAGCCTGGTACTGGGAGCGGCTAGGTGCGTGACCACACCCCTCTCTGCTGCTAACTGTTACTGGGAATATGTGATTTAAAAACCATTGCAGGTGGTTGTGTTAACATCTGGTTCAGTGAGCGTCAGATTAGCATTGTGACACATGTTCGTAGTTATATAGAAGTCTGCTGGCTCAGAGTGAGAGTTCCATTGTGCTCTTCCCCACTGCCCTCCCCAAATGCAATTCAAAGGTGATTCATAAGCATAGCAGAATATTTTAGGCAAATGGGGGTGAATTCTGTTGTTTTCATTTCCTTCTGCTCCCCAATCATATTTTCATGGATATTGTTGCTAAACTGCTGTATTTTCAGCTGCACCAATTTAGACAGTTGAGTGTGTTGTGTTGTGTTGTGTTGTGTGTTTGTAAAGACCTAACCTTTGATCTGTGCCTACAAAGACAGTCATGGTGTCTTGACACAATTAGTAAAAATAGACATAGGAACAGAAAAAATAAATTGGAGGGGACACTTTGCCCATGAGGTTTTCCCTGGGCTGTGGAGAAAATAGAACAAGGCTTATATTAAGTCGGGGAACGTGGAGTCCTGCTTGCCCAGTTCAAAAAAGGACATGGAGGACTATGCTTCCAAATATTCCTTCTCCATTATGTATTGAAATATCCCCATTTTGACTTTCACTACAAATAAATGTGCTGGATGCTGTGCAAAAAAACATCTTTGCATACATTTGTTCCTGCGTGTGCTGAAGAGTGCTTTGGCTTCTTCCTTTGAGGATCACAGTGATTTTAACTTCGCCTGACAACTGCTTTTCAATGCCTTCATTTTATGCACCTCCCAAAGTGCCAGTTTATAGGAAGATCAAATTTAAAAAGTATCAGATACTAAGAAAGGGAGTTATGTGAAAGGCATGTTTATTTTGTATGGTTAACAGGTTTCTTGGTGTGCCGACCTTTAATTTAGGATCAGTGTTAAAAAGGTGAGGGCACAGCTCAGCGGTAGAGCATGAAGAAGGTGCCAGCTTCAATCTCCAGGCAGGCCTGGGAGAGACCCTTATCTAAAATCCTGGAGAGCCACTGCCAGCCAGTGAAGGCAGTACTGAGCTAGATGGGCCAACATTCTGTCTTGGTGTATAGCTGCTTCCTATGTTCTTATGTAAACCTAAGATGGCTGGCATCCATCTGTCTCGGGAGACAATGGAGGACTGCGCCTTTGGAGGTGGTCAAGCTGTTGGATGTTTGCAGCGCCTGCTGTGGCTGTAGAGATCAATGTGGGAGAGACATGTTTTGTTGCAGCTGGGGCAGATGAAGGTGTCCAGTTATGCTCCTGCAGGTGCACCATGACATTTCTTCTCTCTGCGCTCCTCCCAGTGGTCATTTCTCCTCTGATCACAGCTATGAATACACGACTTGACTGTCTGTCTCCAGGTACTGTGGTTGCCTGCAAGAGATTCTCACATGGCAGGGTTGATGATGCTGCCAGCCTTTGCAGATTTTGGGGGTTCGTTATCTTGGGTGGCACACCATAACACAGTTTCTTCAGGTCCACAATCTCATGTGGTGACCCAAAACACACATTTTGGGGTACCATGCCTGAAAAACATCAACATTTTTCCAGGGCTTGGGATCTCGCATGGGTCATGTGATTCATGTGGGAATGCAGACCCAGAAGATGGCATCCCAGATTTGGACTGTGTCATGTTAAGGGTATGTGTTTGAAGGGTATGTGTCTTCAGTCAGAAGAGAAAGAGACCCATCAGTGAGGAGCAGTTGTGTGGATGGGAGATTGCATGTGTGCTTGTTCTGGAAACGCACCACTTCTGATCCCTCACCTGAATTGAGTGTTCATTGTGGCTCATGAAAGGGCCAGGCCTTCTGCAAATATTTAAACTGATGAGAAGCCCTGTCCTTGGATGGCTTATGCCCAACAGAGTCTCACTGAAGAGCCCAGAGCTAACCTCAGCATATTATTTTGACAAATGGGCAGTCGATACGCCACAGATTCCCACAGGACTGCAAAACTTCCGTTGAGTTTCAGTTTGTTTATTGGATTCACCATCAATTGTTTGACAAGATAAACATGGACAATTAATGAAACATTCAGCTGTCCTTAAAACAGACTGCCACATGAGAATCTAGGTAAATAAGTCAAGTATTTCTGTGGAAAGGGCAAATAGAGTCACTTTTTCTAATGATTGCCTATATATATTTGCGTGCAAGGCCTCAAGTTTCCTGCTACCTGCTACCAAAGGTCAAAACAAACGAGTGAGTTGACTGAAAAACATAGCTCTTACTTCCTTCTGGATGGGCCATTGCAATAAATAAGTAGGAATACCTTACACAGTGGCCTAAACTACAAGCACAATGTCTTAAATCATAGGGCATCTCCTCAGGTTCTCCTCAAAAACAGCATAGGGTATTTTGTTAAAATTATGTGAAAGCTCCCAGTTTTTGAGGTGTGATATATAGTTCATCTTGGAGAAGGAATGTCCCTCAGTGGTAGAGGACATGCTCTGCGTACAAAAGGTCCCAAGTTCAATTCCTGGCATCTCCATCTAAAGCTGGGGAAAGGATCCCATCTCTGATCCCATTCATCATGGAAAAGACGTGGGCAGAAGGTTGGCCTTCTTTTTTGTGACAGTATTCTGGTATGGAGTATCAGCTTCTTTTCCTTCACAGCCTGTGGCAGCCATTTTGTACTGGCAACCACAGCACACACCCACACCCCAATATATGAGTACTGACACCTCATTTTCTACCCAAAAAGCACCGGAGAAAAAATTATAGGAATTTGATAAAGGAGTTCTGGGTAATTTGCAGCAGATCAGCAAGAATTTTAGAATCCTGGTCGTTTAATAATAGCAATAACAAGCTATTTCCACTCCAGGCTAAGACTGCTGATCTAACAAAATCTTGCTGTAACCAGGGACAATTTTTGTGCTTGTGTAGAACAGGCATGGCCAAACCTGGTCCTCCAGATGTTTTGGGACTACAATTCCCACCATCCCTGACCACTGGTCCTGTTAGCTAGGGATGATGGGAGTTGTAGTCCCAAAACATCTGGAGGTCCAAGTTTGGCCATGCCTGGTGTATAATGACTGTGGACTCATCTACACCTGTCAGTTAAAACATAAAAAATGCGTTATAAAAATGTGGCACCAGAGGGCACTGTAAAGCAGTGGTCTGTTATCAATGGAAAATTGCATTGAGAGTTCTATTACATGGGTTTTTTAAAAGTGTTTTTACAGATCAGTGTTAATCCAGTCTGCAACCTCTGTTCAGCTCTAGAACCAAAAGCAGAACCCTGTGCTCAGCAGTTGCTCTTAAGTGCTAGCTTCTTTAATGTTCTGAAGAGAGCCAGTGTACTGGTTAGAGTGTTGGACTAGGACCTGGGAAACCAGGGTTCTACACCTGTGTGCCATTCACTTGGTGTCCTTGAGCCAGTTGTTGTCTCTCAGCTGAATCTATGTTGCAGAGTTGTTGTGATGATAAAATGGAAAGAAGGGAGAACCATGTAGGTAGGCCTCCTTGAGATCATTGGAGGAAAAGTGGGATATAAATGTGGTAGTAATATTATGGCGATGTGTCTTGCGCCTTGCTCCAGCTGGTGGATTTTGAGGTTGTAGTAAAACACCAAGTAGCTCTTATGAGGCTGAACTGTACTCACGAGACCAGAAGTCTGCCTATTGTGTAAAGTAGATGCTTAGGTAGACAGACCAATTATCTTAGCTGGGAATAAATAAGAAAGCTCCCTATGGTCTTAAGGCGACCTATTTTGAGGGAGAGCTTTCAGTCCTACATGGTTTACTTTTTGATCCATCCCTAATCCATGGGAGAAAGTTAGACTATAAATATACAGTGGTACCTCAGGTTAAGTACTTAATTCGTTCCGGAGGTCCGTTCTTAACCTGAAACTGTTCTTAACCTGAAGCACCACTTTAGCTAATGGGCCTCCTGCTGCTGCCACGCTGCCGGAGCACGATTTCTGTTCTCATCCTGAAGCAAAGTTCTTAACCCGAGGTACTATTTCTGGGTTAGCGGAGTCTGTAACCTGAAGTGTATCTAACCTGAAGCATATGTAACCCAAGGTACACTGTACTTTTAAATGAATGAATAGCAACTGGGTTAACAAGCCTAATAAAAAACAAAACAAAAAAATGTAATCATTACTTTTTTCTTCTTTTCTTTTCTTTTCTTTTCTTTTCTTTTCTTTTCTTTTCTTTTCTTTCTTTTCTACCGAATAGCTGTGTAATGGAGGATCTGTGACTGACCTTGTAAAAGGATTTCTGAAGCGAGGAGAAAGAATGAGTGAAGTTATTATTGCTTTCATTTTACATGAAGCCCTGATGGTAAGTAAGGAAATGCATTAACAGTTCAAATATTGGCTCTTGATTTTGGTGGAGAATTAATTTGGGTACAGAGTTAAGCACTGGAAGGGAAATGGGACATGGCCCAACCAACCTCAGTCTGCCCTCAGCCAGTCCTTACCTAGTCCTCACCTGCTTTCCTTCTTCCTTACTACCAGTCCAGTGGGTAGCACTGCCTAACAGGTTCTAGCAGCCTTGCATGCTGTTATATATGAAATGGAGATCATGGTACAATAGAAACTCTACATGGTTAAACAAGCCTGTTTCGTAAACCATGGTTTGAAGTTGACTTGTTTAGAAACTGCTCAGAGTTGTAAAGTTGCAAGTAAGAGCTGCCACGTCTATCTCATGGCTGCATGAAAGAAGGGGAAGGGAGTGCATGAGTCCAAGGCTTTTACACGTAGCACTAAACCATGGTTTAGGGTTACATACAAACACTGAATTTTGTTACATATTGCTGGTATAGCAGTTCCTTCACCCCCATCTTCCTAACTATAGACACAGCAAATCTCAGGACAACACTGTAAGTTTGTAAGATTCATTGGCTTGGGAAATGTATGAGTTTTATTCATTAAGGATTTTCCCCCCCATGCAGATGTTTACCATGAGAGATAATTTAAACTGTAATGGTTCACCGTGTGAACTATGGTGGATTTGTACTATAGGTATATCCCTGAATTAAAAATACATTAAATGGAATACTTACTAAGTTTACCAATATTTTGACAATTTCGTATTTTCTTTATTGCAGATAAATTCATTTAAAAACCATAAACTCTCTTTTCAGGGGCTTCAGCATTTGCATGAAAACAAAACTATCCACCGTGATATCAAGGGAAATAACATCCTTCTAACCACTGAAGGAGGTGTTAAACTTGTGGATTTTGGTAAGTTCACTGTCCTTTTACCCTTGAGATGTCATGTTGCACTTGTCTGTCAAAAGCAGCCAACTTAGGGTCTGGACAAACAAGACCCAATGTGAGGTGGAACGAGCCTTGGGCTTCAATATACTCACGCCCTGCCTTCTCCTCAGGTAGAAGAATGTTACACCTGTTCTGACCAAATACTGCACTGATTTTCACTTTGGGATCTGCCTAAATGTAGTTCATGATGCAGTATCCTCGATTTGAAAAAGAAAGAGCAAAGTATATTTCCAGTTGGTGTAAAACTTTGGCTTAACCCAGGGGTGACTGGTGTCTCCCCTAAAAAGTGGGATTCTATAAGTTATTGCTAAGTCATTTCCAAAAGGGACGCAGGTGGCGCTATGGGTTAAACTACAGAGCCTTGAGCTTGCCGATTGGAAGGTTGGTGGTTTGAGTCCTCGCAATGGGGTGAGCTCCCATTGTTCGGTCCCAGCTCCTGCCAACCTAGCAGTTCAAAAGCACATCAAAGTGCAAGTAGATAAATAAGTACCACTCCGGCGGGAAGGTAAACAGCATTTCCGTGCGCTGCTCTGGTTCGCTACATGACCCGGAAGCTGTACGCCAGCTCCCTCAGCCAATAAAGCGAAATGAACACCGCAACCCAGAGTCGGCCACGACTGGACCTAATGGTCAGGGGTCCCTTTACCTTTACCCTTACCTTTAAGTCATTTCCACCTATCCATGACACAAGCCATTTGTCCCACGCCCCTCCCATCAGACATTATAGTTGAATTGTGTTTTGGAGGTTCCTGCCATGCAGATTAACTCCATGTGGTGAGGTGACAGACTTTTGCATAGACTGTTGCATCCCCTTTTTATCTGGTGTTGTTATTGCCAGTGCTGCAATTATATGACTTGTCTCCAAGAGTTGATCTTGGTTGTTTATAAAGTTACTTTTTGTATGCAGGCTGATTTTTATTACTCCTCACCCCTTTGGAGTTTTGCTTAACCGTTTAAACTTGGATATAAATATTTGAAATAAATAATGTAGGATCATGATGTATATACACTGACATAAGGCTAAATGTATCAGAGTCTTGCGGCTAAGAGACCAGTGGCACAATCCTATACATGTCTATTCAGAAGTTAGCCCCATTGACTTCAGTGGGGCTTACCTCCAGAAAACTGGGCACAGGATTGTGGCCAACATGTCAAATCAGCAAGGCCTCAGTTCAAACCTCACCTGTGACGTGAATGCATGTTTTGGCCTTAGGGAAGCCGCTCTCAGCTCAAGATCTGTAAAATGGGAGTAATATTACTAACTTACCTTTCATAGTTATAATAATAATAATAATAATAATAATAATAATAATAATAATAAATAATTTATTATTTATACCCCGCCCATCTGGCTGGGTCCCCCCAGCCACTCTGGGTGGCTTCCAACAAAACACTAAAATACAATAACCTATTAAACATTAATAGATGTCTTCTAAAAGTTTGGTAGTTATTTTTCTCTTTGACATCTGGTGGGAGGGCGTTCCACAGGGCGGGTGCCACTACCGAGAAGGCCCTCTGCCTGATTCCCTGTAACTTGGCTTCTCGCAGCGAGGGAACCGCCAGAAGGCCCTCGGCACTGGACCTCAGTGTCCGGGCAGAACGATGGAGGTGGAGATGCTCCTTCAGGTATACTGGACCGCGGCCGTTTAGGGCTTTAAAGGTCAGCACCAACACTTTGAATTGTGCTCGGAAACATACTGGGAGCCAGTGTAGGTCTTTCAAGACCGGTGTTATATGGTCTGGGCGGCCGCTCCCAGTCACCAGTCTAACTGCCTCATTCTGGATTAATTGTAGTTTCTGGGTCACCTCCAAAGGTAGCCCCACATAGAGCGCATTGCAGTAGTCCAAGCGAGAGATAACCAGAGCATGCACCACTCTGGCGAGACAGTCTGCGGGCAGGTAGGGTTTCAGCCTGCATACCAGATGGAGCTGGTAAACAGCTGCCCTGGACACAGAATTGACCTGCGCCTCCATGCACAGCTGTGAGTCCAGAATGACTCCCAGGCTGCACACCTGGTCCTTCCCTGGTCCTGAATGGGGCACAGTTACCCCATTCAGGACCAGGGAGTCCTCCACACCTGCCCGCCTCCTGTCCCCCAAAAACAGTATTTCTGTCTTGTCAGGATTCAACCTCAATCTGTTAGCCGCCATCCATCCTCCAACCATTATAAGGATAACAAGCTCTTTCTCTGTGTTTCTATCTAATATATGATCACTCTGAACATTCAAAAGTGCTGTAGAAATGCTAAATATGATTATTAAAA